AGGGTCGCACAGCCGGTCAGAGGCAGAGGTGAAGCTGTCCGGTGAGCCCCTGGACACCTGATCTCAGATTCTGGATGACATCTGCTTGGCTGAGGCCCACGTCCTGTGTCCCTGGGCACAGCGCCTCCTCCAGGCTGGCGCTGGCTTCCTCTTAATGACAGACTTCGGGTGTGAACCCAGAGCTCAGGCCCTGAACCACCCCACCGGCTGCCAAACCTTCAAACTTCCTTCTCCTTCTGTTTAAAGCCGCTCCTATAAACAGCTCAGAGTCAGAGGTCAAGGCTATCCACCTGGCATACTCAGTCGAATCTTAGAGTCTAAGTATCCTCAGCCCAGAGACTAAATGCCCCAAGTCATTCAGGGAACGTTCAGGAAGAGCCCCCAGACTGTTCCAAACACAACGGGAAGATGGCAGAAGCAGCTGGAGCCGGGCTGTCCCATCAAGACAGACACTTTGGGGGCGGTGCTGGGAGAGACCCAGGTCTTGTGGGAGACACTCCAGGGCTCAGGGTGACCACCAAGCCGAGACAGAGCCCCAAGGCCTGGCTGCCCCCAGGTTTGACCTCACCAGGGCCCGGACACCACTTCCGGACACGAAGGACTCTGAGTGGGGCCCCACCATCAGGGCTCGCAGGGCCCGCCGGGTGGACACGGAGAACCCAGGCCAGCACTGGAAATAACACCTGTGTTCTCAGCCCCAACGTCCTTACCGTGACAACCATCAGGGACACTGAGTGCGCCGTGTGCCAGGGACCATCTCCGTCAACACAACAGTGCCAGAAGGCGGGAACTACGAGTTGGTGCCATTGTACAGACTAAGACACTGAGGCTCAGAGAAGTGACGTCACTTGCCTAAGGCCCCCGAAGCAGGTTTCCCAAGATGGTTTGTTTTAAGAAGTTGTTTTTCAGGGGCACCTGGGTGGCTCAGTCAGCTGAGCGTCCGACTCTTGATTTCCGCTCAGGTCATGACCTCACGGTTTGTGAGTTCGAGCCCCATGCTAGGCTCTGTGCTGACAGCGTGAAGCCTCCTTGGGATTCTTTCTTTCCTCCTCTCTCTGCCGCTGTCCTACACATGCTCCCTCTCTTAAAAAATAAATTTTTAAAAAGCTTTTATTTCCTATTTTTATTTTTTTAAAGATTTTCAATTTTTTAAAATGTAATCTCTACACTCAACATAGGGCTTGAACTCACAACCCCAAGATCAAGTGTCACATGCCCCACTGAGCGAGCCAGCCCGGCGCTGCAGAAATTGTTTTTAAAAATGAAGTTTTATAGGGAACCCCAAGCTGTCACACAGATAAGACCATGCGTTTGGGCTGTTATTTGCCTTTCATGGAGCCATAACCTCAAGACTTTAAAAACAAGGAGAAGGGGCACCTGGGTGGCTCAGTCGGTTGGGTGTCTGACTTCGGCTCAGGTCATCATCTCATGATTCGTGGGTTCAAGCCCCGCATCTGGCTCTGTGCTGACAGCTCAGAGCCTGGAGCCTGCTTCAGATTCTGCATCTCCCCCTCTCTCTGCCCCTACCCATGTCACGTGTTTTCTCTCTCTCTCAGAAATAAAACATTTAAGAATTAAAAAAAAAATAAAAACAAGGAGAAAACAGACTTTTTATCTGTACTTGCATTTTTTCCACCGACAGCTTCCCATTGTATTTGGAATAAAGCACTAACTCCTCACATGACCCTCTGACCACACTTACTCCCCCATACCCCATCTTCCCTCTGCGTGTTCCCACCACCATGGCCTCTTCTGTTACAGTCTTCGAAACACACAGAATGCTTATCCATCTCAAGGCCTTTGCCCATGCTGTTCCCTCTGCCTGAAACACTGATCCTTTTTTTCTTTTTTTTTTAAGATCTAGTGTTTGGGGCGCCTGGGTGGCTTAGTTGGTTAAGCGTCCGACTTCCGCTTAGGTCATGATCTCGCGGTTCATGGGTTCGAGCCCCGCGTCAGGCTCTGTGCTAACTGCCAGCTCAGAGCCTGGAGCCTGTTTCAGTCTGTGACACTCTCTCTCTCTGACCCTCCCCTGCTCACGCTCTCTCTCTCTCTCTCTCTCTCTCTCTCCTAGAAATAAATAAAACATTAAAAAAAAAAGATCTAGTTTTTAACTAATCTCTACACCCATCGTAGGGCTTGAACTCACAACCCCAAGATCAAGAGTCACATGCCCTACTCAATGAGCCAGCTGGGCACCCCAACACTGAGACATTCCTAACTTGGGATTAAGACTGTGGTCCGGGGCACCCGGGTGACTCAGTCAGTTGAGTGTCCAACTTTGGCTCGGGTTGTGATCTCATGGCTCGTGGGTTTGAGCCCTGTGTCTGAGCAGTCAGCACAGAGCCTGGAGCCTGCTTCGGATTCTGTGTCTCCCTCTTTCTGCCCCTCCGCTGGTTGTGCGCGCTCTCTCAAAAATAAAAAATATTTAAAAAACATAAAAATTTTTTTTTTTAATTTAAATAAAGACTGTGGTCCAAAAGTCACCAGCTCAAGACTCACTAGGAAACTTTGGCAATTAGGACAGTGTGCTATTGGCCTAAGGAGACACACATGAGCCAATGGAACAGAAGGGAGAGTTGTCCAGAAGCACACAGATTACCCTTTATTTAGGATAAAAGCAGCATTGCAATCCAATAGACAAAAGATGGTCACATCAGCAAACAGTGCTGGGACAACAGGAAGAAACTGAGCCCTGCCTCACACCATACATAAAAACTAATCAGAGATAGATCTTGGTCCAAAATGTGAAGGCCGCCAAAAATAAAGCCTCCAGAAGAAAAGACAAAAAGATTTTCATGACTCTTGAGTAGGCAAAGATTTCGTAAATAGGACACAAAAAGCGCGAACCGTAAAGGCAGGCAGTTAATAAACTGGACTTCATTAAAAGCAAGAACTTCTATTCATAGGGGCGCCCGAGTAGCTCCATGGGTTAAGCATTCAGATTCTTGATTTCAGCTCAGGTCCTGATCTCACTTGGGACGCTCTCCCTCTCACTTTGCCCCTCTCTGGCTCACGCTCTATCAAAATAAGTATTAAAAACAAAAACAAACACACAAACAAACACCTCTGTTCATGAAAAGATTCCATTAAAGAAAAAAAGGCACCCCTCTGAGCAGGAGATGATAATTATAATAAAAGGAAGTATATCCCAAATATATAAAAACTGTTATAAAGCAATAAGAAAAGGACAGACAACTCAGTAAAAATAACAAGCACATCACGACAGAGCTAATTCTAGTGACCAATAAACATGAAAAGGTGTTTAACCTCATGAGTCATCAGGGAAATGCAGAAATTACTAGTTTCTGCAGTGAGAAACTAGTACACATCCACTAGAAGGGCTGAAATGGAAAAAACACAAAAATCAACTCACACGTTGCTGGCGGGGACATAAGATCATGCAACCACTTTGGAAAAAGTATATGAATTTCTCATAAACCTGCACTTGCCCTATGACCTAGCAAGGCCACTTCGAGGAATCTCCCTGACAGAAATGGAGCCCATGTCCACACAAAGAACTAGATGCATATTTCATAACAGCACAAAAGTCCCAGAGTAGAAACAATCCAAATATCCATCAACAGGCGAATGGATAAGCTCACTGTGGTATATCCATACAGCTGAGCTACTGAGGCACATGGACAAGTCTCTCGACTCATTACGCGGAGCAAAAGGAGCCAGACGTAAAAGGCAACACGTTGCGTGATTCCATTTGTGTGATGTCCCAGGACAGAGAACTGGAACCCCAGAGTACGAGTCAGTGGGAGAAGGGGGTGGCGGGGGTTGCAGAGGCAGAGGAGGTGGGAGGGAGCCTCCCGGGAGCGGGGTCACGGGGCATGCCCAACCACGGCAACACAGGGCTTCAGATGCGCTTCACCCACTTCATGTTTAAGGTTACCTCGCCTGAGAGGGTTCCTTGCCAACACTCCATCCCAACCACCGAATTATGGCCCCTCACTTATACTTCCAGAGGCCCCGCTGCTTTTCCTTTGGAACACAGTAGGATTTATAATTCCATGTGCATTTGTAGGGTTATTCAATGGCTCTCACTAAGATGCCTGTTCCCCAGCACCAGCATCTGTCTGGTACACAGTAGGCCTAGCTCAATAAATACCTATTACATGAATAACTAAGTCTCCTCCATTCAGACCTTGACCCCTGACGGCTAGGATCACGTCCACGGTGCTCCATCTCTGGCAGAATGGAACCACAAGGAGAAAGGAATGAGGTGAAAGCCACGTGGTCCCATCAGCTTGAGACACCTGAGTCAAAGACGGAACTCGTCAGGTGCGTGGAACACCTTGACCCTTCAGCCTCAACTGCACGGCAGAATTAGGTTGTCAAAAAGGGGAAAACACAACATTTTTTAGACTTGAAATAAAGAAGACATCAACAAATCACGGGACGTGCTAAGGAATCCAAATGACAGTTTTGACCTCCCTCCCCCCCCCCAAAAAACCCCCTCCTGTTTGTCATGGCCAATCTGGGTCAGGGTTTGCAAGGACGCGGACCAGCCTTCACAGCCCACAATGACACCCCATACAGCGCACACAGGGTCTCTGGACATTCTACCAAATCCCTGACCGGTCCTCCCAAAACCATCCTCAGAAACCAGGAAAGCCTGTAGAACCCGTCAAAGCCATCAGGCACATGAAGCCTCACGGCTGCCTCTACCACCGTATGCTGGGACCAGAAAAGCGGGAAGAGGGAAAATGCAAAAAATCCAAAGGAACTGCGGAGTGCAGATGGAAGCAGCGACCGACACCGGGGCCTCAGTTATGCAAATATCCCTCGTAACGTAAGATGTTAACAGGCAAAACCGCACGCGGGGCGCCAGGGAACGCAGAACTATCTTTGCAACCTCGATGCAAATCTAAAACGGTCAAAAAGAAACACTTCAGTTCACAAAAGACCTGCTTTCCTCTGGGCGCCCCGCGGCCACGCGCGGGGACCGGCGCGCGCCCCGGAGCGCCCTGGGGCGCCCCGCGCGGGGAGCTTACCTTGGGCGGGTCGAAGAGCTCGAGCACGCGGTCCGCCCCGCCGTCGGGGCCCCGGGCGCGCCGCAGCGCCAGCCGCCCCCGCTGCCAGCGCGCCCCGCTGTCCATGGACGCCTCGTCTGCCAGGCTGTAGCGCAGCGCTGCCTCCTTGAGGGCCTCGGGCGGCGGCTCGCGGGCCAGGCCCCAGGGCAGGAGCTTCCTGGCCAGGCCGGACCGGGCCGGACCCTCGCCCGCCTCCCCCGCGGCCCCGGTGGCGGGCAGCTCCCCGGCCGAGCCGCGGCGCAGGATGTGGCGGAGGCTGTGGCGCAGGTGCTGGAAGGTGCAGGCGGCGGACGGTGGCGGCGGGGCCAGCTCCTCGGAGCTGCGGGCCTTGGGCAGCGCGGGGGCCGCAGGACCCGGGCCCGGCTCGGCCAGGGGCGCCTCGGCCTTGGCGGGGGGCCCGCGGCTCGTGTCCCGGTAGTCGCGCGCGGGCGGCGCGGCCCTGGACCCCGGCGGCCCGGGCGCGCGGCCGTCGCGCACCTCGCGGCAGAAGTAGCGCTGGAAGAGGTCGGTGAACTGCAGCGACACGAGCTCAGCGCGCAGCGGCGCGTGGTGCGGGTGCTCCCGGGCGAAGAGCCAGTACTGCCGGGCCAGCTCCCGGGCCGTGGCCACCGCGTGCCGCTCGCAGAACTCGCTCCAGCCCCGCGGGGACGACGACGACGCTGCCGCGGCCGACGAGGAAGGGGACGATGCGGAGGAGGCCGAGCAGGGCTGCAGGGTGGGCCCGTTCATGGCGGAGACCGAGGGGGGGCGGCCACGCTGAAAGACACGGTGGGGTGGGCAACAATGGAGTGAGCAGGCACACAACTCCTTAAACCTGGCACCGCGAGGCAGGCTATTCACCAGGCACATCATCAAAAATTGAAAACCACCATTAACCGCCGGTGCTGGTGAAGATGCGGGGACGTGCGCACTCGGCTACAATGTTGCCGATACCGTTACCAGACGCAGCCTTTTGGAGGGCTGTTTGGCAGGTTCGGTTTCAGACCCAAGGATTCCACTTTCAAGTAGTTAGGAGAATACTTGCGCGTGCACAGAGAGGCACGTACAGGACAATCCCCTACTAGATGTTTTCTGCCCCCATGTATATAATAGGAAAAACGGTAGATACAACTTAAACGCCCATCAGTCAGAGATTGGTAAAGAAAACCGTGCTACATCTCAGCTGGAATATTCTGCAGTAGTGGAAAAGGTAGAGGGGGGTCTATGCCACCACCCCAAGGAACAATGTAGACTCTGATCCAATTTACAGGAACACACACAAAACTAAATTGCCAAGTTTTATGTGTACATAAATGTGTTTAAGTGGCGGACAAGAAAGGTATGCCTGGAGGAAACCCACCAGAAACAGAATTGGGGTAGAAGGGGTAAAAGAAACCAAGGAATACTGCTGCTACTTGTCTTTAGAAAATATGGTTAAGAACATAAGGGCGCCTGGGTGGCTTAGTCGGTTAAGCGTCTGACTTTCGCTTAGGTCATGATCTCGCGGTTCGCAGGTTCGAGCCCCGCGTCGGGCTCTGTGCTGACTGCCAGCTCAGAGCCTGGAGCCTGTTTCAGAGTCTGTATCTCCCTCTCTCTCTGACCATCCCCTGCTCATGCTCTCTCTCTCCTAGAAATAAATAAAACATTAAAAAAAAAAAAAAAAGAACACGGAGCCTGTGTCAAATGCCAGCACCACCACTTACTAGTTATATGACTTTGGGTGAGTTATTGATTTCTCTCTGCCTTAGTCTCCCCATCTGTAAAATGGGGAACATGATTGCACCTGCCTCATAGGAAGGTCATGAGGCTTGAGTTAATAAATGTAAAGACTTTAGGACTTAGGAAAAGCCTACTAAGGGCTGGCTGTTATTATTTAAATATTACAATGAGAGTGCAACCTTGGTGTCAATAAAAATAAAAACAGTGAATGAAAAGGAATCAATTAACAAGACTCACAGAGGAGTGTGAAGGTGTTTCCTGCTCTGATGAGGGTCTGTCAGGACAGGCAGACCCTTGCCTACCCATCCCAGCTGGGGCTCCATTCTCCTCCCACCCCCGTGGCTCCTTCTTTGGCACCACACAATCAAAAGACAGAAGCCCCCCACCCTCTGCTGTCCGAGGTGCTGAACCCCAGACCGCTCTAATTACCAGCAGTACCATCCTTTCTTCCAACTAGGCTTGGCTGGGCCTGGGCCCCTGCTGGGGACCACATAATCATGGCTGCTTATACTCCCCCCCCCCCAAAAAAAAAACCTATTACTAAGGGCCTGCTCTGTGCCAGACACCATGCTAGGCTTTGAGGGATACAACAGTGACCCAGACAGAAACCCCTGCTCTCTTGGGGCTACACTACACACGTGTATATATAGGCTGTGTGACCTCTGACACATGACTGGACCGCTCTGAACCCCACCCAGTTTCCTCATTTGTCAAACACAGGGCACCATGGTATCCACCTCATTAAATGGTTATAAGGAGTCCTTGAGAGACGCTCAAGGTGGAGACCTGAACCTGGAAATTGAGGGTCTTTCTGCCACACACCAGTGCACAGGCACCTTCTATTTGTGACTCCGCGAAGGGTCAGGGTGGGACAGGTCTGCTGGGCAGCTGCAAAAACAATGAAGCCTGCCCCTGCCATCTCAGGCCATCGCAGTGATCCTGCAGCTAAACTCAGGAGGACACCCCAGATGGTGTCAGTGGGGAGGGCGCTCTGCACAGAGTCAACATTTTTGCACATCACCAGGTCCTTGAAACCTATGTACAGTAAGCACTTTGCACGTAGTAGTCAGTAAAAGCTGCCAGGCAGGAGGGAGAGGAGCCGTGTGTGCCCTTGACCACCACATTCTGCCCAGAAAAACACCCTGTAGCTGAAGGGCGGATGGTGGTTACCTGCATGTGTGTGTGATTTGCCCTAAGCTAACCCATGCCTCCACACAGGTGAGGCAAGCACTGACCTCCCAGGTTAGGGGGCCCACAGAGCTCTCGGACTCCAGAGCCAGGCTCCTGCCCACCTGCGAGACCCTGTATGATCTTCCCCCATTCGTGCCTGCTGCCTCTGGGCAATTGGCTGCTTTCAGCTTCACACAAAAGGCAGCTTCCCTGAGCCTACCAACTGAGTCAAGTCCTGAACTTGTCCTTCAGCATGCTGGTCACATACTATCACTTAATAGATCTGATTATTTAATCAGTGACTATCTCCCCACCAGACTGTGAGCTTCACAATCTGCTCCCAGCTCTGGTCCCAGTCCCGAGCATGCAGCAGGAGCTCAATAAACACCCGTCAAATGAATGAATGAACATATGAATGCAAGAGGTTGGCTGAATTTGCAACCTCTGGCTCTTCTGGCAGATGCATGGTGGCCAGCAGCCACCAACGACCACTTCTCACTAGGCCGCCCCATCTCCTGTGCACCCTGGAATCCCGGTCCCAACTGCAGAGCCAGACTCTGACAGGAGGCTTCTTGAAACATGTGCCTGCTCCACGCTCCCTTGCTGCCCGGGCAATGGCCGGCAGTCTTCCTCACCACACCTCCCCCATCAGAAATGCAATATATACAAGCACTTGCTGGACATCAGGCATTTTTTTTCTAAAGCATTGTCTCCTGAACTTCATCACAGCCCTAGGGGGGGGGGGGGCCTATAATTGCTCCCATTTTACAGATAGAAAACTGGAGCACATGAGAGGACCCATACTACCAGTTATTAGAAACTCCCACAGAAGTCATCCCCAGAATACCTGATCTGTGCCTGAATGCACGCCATGAGGAGGACTCATTCCCAGTGACTGTTTATTGAGTGAGTGAGCTCCAGGGGCTCCTGGGTGGCTCAGATCATGATCTCATGGTTGATGGGTGTGAGTCCCAGGTCAGGCTTTGTGCTGAAAATGTGAAGCCTGCTTCAGATTCTCTGTCTGCCTCTCTCTTTGCCCTTCCTGCACACATGCAGGCTCTCTCTCTCTCTCTCTCTCTCTCTCTCAAAAATGAACATTAAAAGAAATGAATGAGTGAGATCCAGAGGAAGGGATATCAAGTTCTCATTCAGCTTCTGCTGGAGTCAGGAGGCGTTAGCTCCTCTGTCCAGGTCCCAAACTCGCCAGGTGGTGAGGAAAACAGCCACAGGATAAAAGCTTAAAACCAATGATTCAATATTTTATACATTGCAAAATGGTCACAGTAAGTCTAGTTATTATGCTGTATACCTGAAATGACGTGTGTCAATCAGATCTCAATTTTAGAAATAAAAATGTAAAAATAAAAATGACGATAAATGATACTACGTCTGGCTTTCTATGTGTCCTGCTCTGTGTTAAACACTTTGCAAATACATTTACTAGTTTAATCCCCATTGGAGGGCACGGGGGAGTCCTCCCAATATGTCCATTTTACAGATAAAAATGCCAAGGCCAGGGAAGATTGGCTTGCCCAGAGTCACACAGCCGGTGAGGCCCAGAGCTGGGATCAGAACCTGGCTGGCTCTGCTAGAAGCAATACTGCTTGATATGTGAGCGATACTGCTCACTGTCCCGCACCCTCAACCTGGGCTGTTTGCCCCTGGAGGTCTGAGAGGCCACCTCATTGCTGCTCACCCCCCAAGGCCTGGTCACAGTGGATGCTCCAGAAATATTACTTGTATGGATGAGCGAACTCCCGGGATTGAGGTGGGCTGCCGTTTGATAGTCATGCTCCTTGGAGTCATGCTCCTGACCCACATGGACAAGCAGAAAGTGCTGGGGGGGGGGGGGCTCTGAGAAACCCACCGAGATCCCCTCCCTTCCCATCCAGGGGACCTCCCGCGGTGGAGCTACCAACTAAACCTGGTTCTTATCCTGCCTCTGCCACTTCTTTGCTGTGTGATGCAGCCAAGGGTGCTTGCCTCTCTGAGCCTGTGTCCTCATCTGTGTCCTGGTGGTGTTCAGCTCTTGGCATTTACTAGGAGCACTCTGAGAGCTGACGGCTGTGGGGTGCTGGGCATGGGGCTCAGCAAACAAGCCGCTGCTGCTGTTGTTACTGTCAGCAGAGAGGAGCAGCAACATCAGAGAGGGTCAGGCTCGCGGCCCTGGAAGCCACAGGGGGAGCCCGGCCTTGCAGGCTGGGCCAGCAGGGAGCATCATGGGAGCCCGAACAAAAGGCCTTCACAGGGGAGAGGCGGCTCCAGGCAGGAGCTCCAGGCAGGAAATCACCAGTCGGAGCCCTGAGCACTCAGCTTTGGCCCACATCTGGGAGGGGGCGTGCCTGGGAGGTTTCCTGGCTGGGCGGTCAGCCAGGCCACAGGAAGGTGGTCCCCTCCTTGGGCCCCAGCCCAGGTGGTAGCCATTTATTGAACATTTACTATGTGCTAAGCAGTTGATCAGATCACACCAACTATGGGATCAGGACCTGAAAAACGCTTGGCAGAAAGCATTTATTAATCACCTGAGTGTTCCTAGGAAGCTCCAGGATTAGGCTGGAGGATATGAATAGGGGGGTCTTTGGGGCATTTCTATTCCCCCCCCCCCGCCCCAACCAGAGCATCTGGAAGCCTGGGTGGCCAGAGGGATGAACAGATTCCACACAGAGGGGCCTGCGAATCCACACAGTCCCTCCCACCAGATCAGCCTGGGCTTTTGGGGCAGGGAGTTCCCAGCTATGTGTGTGGAGGTGGGGCCCCAGGATTTCCCAAATCGCACAGTGGAGTGAGGAACAAGGAAGATGTTGAGTGGGAGCAGGAAGGTTGGATCCGGACACTCCCTTCCCCCCAAGTCCCACAGCAAACACACAGACGTGGCTGTCTCCAAGCCC